GAAAATGACACCGTCACAAACGCGACCGTTACCTAGTAGTAGTAGTAGTAGTAGTAGTAGTACTAGTACTAGTACTAGTACTAGTACTAGTATTATTCATATTCATATTGTTTCTAATTTTATTCCTATTATCCTTATTATTACTCTCACTAACCACGCATATTTTTCTAGCCATGCTCGTACTCCAAGAGGCATCGGTCGGCCTTTGCAGTGCTGTACATGCACGTAACAAGACGATTCTACCCACCCCAAGGTTGCCAGACCGTTCTTTCAGTTGACAAACTAAGAACCCAGCGGGTAGTTCATGAAGGCGTTCTGCTGCCACTTTCCGAATTCCAAACAGAGTAAACTTTTCTGTAAGCAAGCCAAAGGGTTTGAAATTTGTGTTTTTTAAGGAATGTAGGGTCACTTCTCGCCTCACTTACAACTGCCATGAAGCTCCAAGATAGGTCTTCTCCTCAAACCTCCATCCCCAATGGCCTAAGCCCTAACCTGTGAGGATGCAAAAACCCGTGAGCCCCGTATCCCCAAAGGCCGCCGGGGGTCTAGGGTTTATGTCTAAGCCTCCGAAAGCCCTCAAAATCATCTATGCGTGACCTCTAGAGATACCTTTACATCGGGGCTTCCAGAAATAGGGGAACCGTTTGAATACCTTGACACAATATAGTCCTTATTATGAACACCCCCTCCCCCAAAAGAAGGGGACCCTTAATTTTGGAACTCCCCACATAATCCTCTTCACACCCCAAAAACGACTCGGAAAGCTCTGCGCCCATGCCTTGGGGGCTGCCGATGCTGTCATGGAGCCGGAGACATCGCACACCGCCACACAGTCCTAGTGATACCATATGAGCTGTAACCTAAATTCCTGAAAAAGGGTTCTATAAGGGACTATACAGGGTTCCTATTACAGGGTTTGTTCGGGGGATACTAGGAATTCAGACCGTAGCTCATATGATGCCTAGCGTTTAGGATGCAGGGCTCAGAGTTTAAAGTTTAGGGACACATTATTCCCAATAATGGAACATTGTGGAAAAGACAATGGAAGAGGAAATGCAAGCTGCGGTTTTAGGGATATGTAGGATTGTATGAATAATGTTTTCTGTTGAACCAATGAAGACTACGAGTAGGAATACGCATTCTTCTGAAAAAAAGCCTTGCTCTATATTGGGGGCTATCAGCAGATTTAGGATCTAGGGCTTAAAGGCTTTAGAAAGTACTGAGAGTCGTGTCATGATATGGACTTGTATGGCGAATACTAAACACCGGTCAGCCACGATTAGGATTGTGACTATACGGACTAGGACTAGGAATAAGGGTTTCGGATGCAGGGCCGCAGGTTTGTGGAGTCAATCCGGCTCACGGGTTTTGAGTTGAGAGCTCGTAGGATGGGTGTGGGGTACGAGCTTTACGGAGGAGGGTTTAAGGTGCTGGGCTTAGGGTTCAGACTACAGGATGAGGCATCCACAGGATTTCTAGATGTGTATGATATAAGGGGGTGGGGGGTGTTTAATATTAAGGGCGAATCGCCGGTATGACGGACAAAGTTGCAGCATTGCTGGCATGCAGCCTCACACCATGAGCTCCGCTTCTGTGTCCGACTTGCTGCAGCGCGAATACGCAAAGGCTGCTTGAATCGCCCTCGCAAATAAGCCGCAACAGCATGAGCAGCCTCACAGGCTTGCTTGCTGGCCGTTGCCCTGTATGCCTTGTGGAAGTCAAAGCTGTGCACCAAGAAAAAGCGAAACTGTCTATCCATATTCTGACAAGAGGTGTCTTTGGAAGCACAAAGAGAGAAAGCATGGGCTTCCGGCCCACTGTATGTCATCCGCGGGCGGGAAGGCGGATATAATGGGGGCTGCGCGCGAGACCGCCGACCTCCACAAGGTGCTCTCCGCCATGCTGGATAGAGAAACACGAAGAATTCTCCTGGAAGTACTCTAATCAAGCTTTACAAAGCACGGCTCGTGTTCAGAGATGTGCATTGCATCATGGACAATAGTTGCAATCTTGGACCTGAGTACTCATCCAGCACAGGGATCACGAACCGCCAGCACGAAGGAAGAAAGTATTCTGCTTAAACATCAACCAAGCTTTGCATAGTCCAGGTGTTGGAAAACCACTATGTCCATGCAGCGCAACACGTGGGAAGGGGCTGAGGTTTCTACATAAAGGGGATTAGGTGACCGATATGGCGGATGCCACAGAGCGTGCTTGGGAGATCTTCATGTTCACGCGGGGCTTTTGGGCTGAGATTTTGTGTGTTTTTTTTCTCAGGTTCCCTGCTTAGGGCTGTAAGTTTAGCATGTTCATGTGGGCATTTTAAATCAAAACATACTTCAGAAAGAAACTCAAGCATTTCAGGTCCCGTGCTTCCCTACAAACGGCATGCATGGTCGTAGCATGGAGTTGGTAGGAAACACGGTGAGTTGGGGCTGTATAGTCTCATGCAACATCTATTCGACAGAACGTCCCACTTTTGCTGATACCATCTACTCGGGATGCAGTGTTTGCGACTAAAGGCTTCGCAAAACCCGTACAAGGTTAGTCATGTCTCTCAAGGTTCTAAGTTCCAACCATTGGGGTATGAAGATCCGGAGTTTAGGATTGAGGGTGGAGGGCTTCGAGTTCAGGGATTTTGTGCTGGGGTGGGAGTGAAGGCATGATGTTGTGGCTAGGTCAGGGTTGTCATTAGCATACGATACGACTGTTCAAGTTGCAGGGGTTAAATTAAGCAAGAACAAGTATATATACCCTATTATATTATAGTAGTTTCGATTTCCTTTTCCATTATCCCCAATATAACCCGAATATAACCCCTATATATACCCTATTATATTATAGTAGAAAGCTGACCTTTGTAAGTTCCACGGACAATGGAAGCAACTATGTCTCTCAGTCGTCAAATCGTCGGGAGCCCCCATGCTACCTGCAACAACATGTTCCCCTAGATGCCCTAGATTTGGTGGTCCTAATTGTTACAACCACCTATGCGGCTTGGCTTCTCAGTGCCTTTCAGGAAGGGCTTAAGAGAGAAGAACATATCGCAAGATATCCTTTCCTGCATGCTGTATGGTATAGGAGGGTCTCATACATCAAAGACGGCCGTAATGCCATCGTTGACTCACTCGGGTTCGAAAGTGGACTGCTTATGGTGTAAGTCCCCAAGGAAAGAGCCCAAGTGAGACCCAAAAACGCCAGCCAGACTTGCACAAGTGAGCGTGGTTGAGGTCACATAGTGGTTTAGGGGTTTAGGGACAAGCTGAGCGCGTATTCAACTTGGAAGCAAGACTGAAGGCTCCTGCGCTTTGACCCCTGCACATGCCATACAAACCTTTGTAGTGTTAACTGCTGAAGGTTTAGGATCGCTTAGATGTCGTGGTTCTACACTCACTTTTCACGCCCATGAACCTCTGAAATCTCCCAGAACAACTCTCAGCCTTAAGCTCCAAAACTCATCAACCTCCAAATCCTTCGGGTTGGGGGCCTAGGGTTCAGGGCTTACGGCTTGGGTACGCAACAGCCCTGCGCCCACGACCACCATACCTTAGGGAACCCTCAGTCCTGCAGCGGACCTTTGCGGGCGCGATGTAACATTGCTCGCCACTGCCCCCTTGCCTTAGCCACTGCTGTGCTGCTCTCAGTCTATTAGCAACTTCACCGGAACGGCACCTCCAATGTCACGACTCACGCTGGGGCCCAATAAGTGAGGAACTCCAAGAAGCGGCATGCTGGCAACAGCAAGCCCCAACAGGGGGGTCTACCTTTTGCGCACTAGCACAAAGAATTTCCTAATTTTGAAACAGCCGTGCCACACCTTCTGAACACAAACATGGCAAGACAAACGCCAGGAAAAGGAAGAACACATATCACTCTGGACAGTCTGGACAAAGCAACCTAGATCCTAAACTCCTTTATGCCGTCAAGACCTACTCCTGAATCCTGACCTTCTGCACCCCTCGTACCATATATCCTTACATAAGTCCCACATGTGCAGATGCCCAGTCATGCGAAAGAAAACCTGTAGAGTTTTCCTCACGTACTAGGATTCCAGGACCACCAGCTGCCAACACTGTGTTTTTCCTTTTTATGAAGTACTAACTATTTCGTAACTATTCTAAGAAATGCCAAGCAGCCGCTAAAATCTATCCCAGGCAGGAAATCCGTCACAGGCCGTTGATTACCATGTGCACCTTCACCAGAGCTAGCATACATACCTGCCTGTTACGGGACTACTGGCACCCCTCCCCTTCACATCCTCTGAACCGTAAACCCGGAATCCTGGACCCGAAACCCTTATCCCTCAAGCATGACGCACTGAACCCTGAACCGCAAACACTAAATCCTGAACGCTGCGCTTACAGCCTAAGTCTCCAACCCTATAGCCTGAATCCCGAACCCTGAGCCCTAAAGCCCAACGCCAAAACCCTAAAACCCAAACCCTAAATCCTAAACCCTAAACCCTAAATCCTATCAATTTTGCCGCAAGGAACCAGGGCTTGGTTTAGAGGATGCAAAGTCCGAGCTCTCCGGAGGATTTCGTGGGGTTGCAAAGCACCTTTGCCGTTGCTTGAGAAAATTGTCAGAGTTTTTCGAGTTTAGGGTTCGGGGTTGCGGGTTTAGAGTTTAAGCTTTAGGGTTTGGGGTTAAGGGTTCGGGGGTTGAGGGTTTGGGGTTTCAGGTGGGTACCCTTACCGGAAGCTTCTGGGCGGAGACCAGAAGTCACCTCCTTTACCCCAACAATGGTGTCACCTAATTTCAGGACAGAAGAGGGGACACTATCTCAAGATGTCCTGGTGCCATAGCATGCTGAAGGGGTGGCTTCAAGGGGCAATGACTTATGACTGTCCCAACTCCCTGGCAGTCTTGTAGTTCAGAATCAGCGCAGAGCTTCTACGAGCAACAAGTGTCCAGACTCCTGTTACATGGATCCTTTCAAAACAAGAGGGCTCTTGGCATCATTAGAGGTTAATAAGGTCTATGAAATTCGTTCTGTCGCTCTCAGCCTGCCTTGGGGAATTGTCCATGGTTGGCCGAAGAGCCTGAAGATTCTGAGCCTCTGTCCGATGCCCATCTCTGTTTCCGGTGACCGCTGGAAATACTGAAGAAGCCCAGCTTGAGAAACCCCATGAGGATTTCCAGGCAAGCCGGCTTCCATCTTCTTAAGGTTAAGACACTATGCCAAGATGAGAAATCTTCAAATGCATCACACGTAATCTGCTGTGTCAAGAATGCGGACAGTGATCGCTGCAACATCTAAAAGCATCATGACTCTTGCCAGGATTCAATCCGATTCCCGAATACTACCGTGCCTGGGAGTATGGTAGATGCTAGCTACACAAAGTGTCAAAAAATACTTCCAGTTCTTCTGGTGTTCATACTACAGTTGAAAAAGCCGATAACAACCCCTGGATCCTGTGTAGCAAGCTCTAAACCTCCACCCCTAAATATGGGGCCTGTGTTGACCTTCACCTTTCCATTCCTTGGTCATGGTTGCGGATGATTCAGGTTTGGCGGTTAGGGTTTGGGTTTAGTGTCTGGTTCCGGGTTTAGGGCTTGTTGGGACACATGACTGTACAAGCGCGAGAATGACGTTGAAAACGCACTACAGCTTAGAGGCGCAGAAACAAGCAGACCTAGCCAGAGTCGCGCAAGATGTATCCTCAACATTTTAGGGGCAGTGTGCCCTTGAAAGATGTGGGGACGCCACCTACTCAAATCGAAGCCTAAACAAACTGAGCGCGACATTCTCACGCCTGTACCTCAGAAATGCCAAGCCAGTACAGATCCAGACCCCAACCACTCCCAAACAAACATGACAACCACTTACAAGACAAAGGTTAACCCATGCGAAACTACCAAAGCCTCGTCCCTATCCATCCAGCAACCACATATCTAGATGTGCCTGCCTGCAAAGCGCAGATACAAAACGCAAAGGATGAAATCAGAACCAGAATCCATGTCTTCATTCAGACGAAAATCCAACCCCGCCCTGATCCCTGAACCGTGTACTCCACACGCACCATCACCTGCAAACCTGACCCCCCTGCAGCTTTGCAAGGGTTTAGGGTCCACGGGTCCTATTTTCAACCGAGTCCTGTTATCCCGTAGGTTGACGGTGCACGAACAATCACAAATTATGTTCTAACCTGCCCCTTATCATGGAGACCCACAAAAATGGACCCCCAATCCTGGGAAACCACCATCTAAGCCCCAGTCCCCTATAATATACAATAATATACCATAATATGCTATAATATACAGTAATGTACCATAGTATACTATAATATACTGTAGTATACTATAGTCTACTATAATATAATAATATACTATATACTATAATATACTTTTCTAGTATACTATAAGTGATGGCAGGCCAGCATCTCAACCAAGTTGAGGAATCGCTGGAAGCGCTCCTCATCGTGCTTGTGGAAGCTGTGGGCGTTGTTCTGCCTGGGCTGCCCGTAAACCCCAAATTAGGGGCTGAGAGAAGAGTTCAGGCTCAGGGATAGTTAGGAATGGGGGAAAAGAAAAGATTATGGAATGGAGATTGCTGGGCATTGCTGTAAACCATATCAAAGGAACTGAACTGTCTGAAGGGAATGGTCAGCTTCATGGCAGATCGTTTTTAAGTACTCCTCATCCTCCCTGTAACACCACTTAGCGCCATCTCCAAAGCTCCAGGCATGATAACTATGCTGCCCAGCAGCAGGCAAACAGCGGGAACTCCTTTGTACCTCATGACACAGCTTGAGGGATTATATAGCGATATATTGAGGAATTAGGGGGTATGTTGGGGTTATATGGGGAAGTATACGGACAATGGAAAAGAAAATGGAAACTAATGGTTTAATAGGTTCGTAGGGTATGTGCATATGCACCCTTTGAGGAGTATCATGTCAAGTAGTTGCGGGGCATGTCTTTGTCGCCTAGGCACTTAGAGGGCCACTTCTTGTAATTGGAGCAGTAGCAGCAATAATAATACTTACCTTGACATGGCTTTTTGCCTCAGACCATGGCCATCGCGCAAAGCTGGATGCTCCTACTTTTCCGTAGATCAAGGGCGTGATCACCGGTAGAAGGCAAAGCCCAGCTTGTCTTAGATGGCGCAACTCAAAGGAGGTTTTAGGGCATCAGCACCTGTTCCTCTGTACTCAAAGCTCCCCTCGCCTGATCCTTCATGTTTGTTACTGGACCTTGAAAAAATCAATGGAGAAATTGACTTTCGGGGGAATAATCAACATGGCCGACATTCCTCTAATCGCTTCGCTCTATCACATACGTCCACACCCTAAGTAAGCCCTGTATACAACCCTTAACTCTATGACACCAGAAGCCTCTAAACCCAGAACCCCAAATCTTCAACCCTAACACGCCTAACCCTACCAACCCTAGCACGGAATTCAAGAGCCTTGAACTCCCAAACCCCAAGCAAGCAAGCTCAGAATGGTGGTTAGGATGGTTTAAGGTTCATTACTAAAATTCCAAGTTCCATGTCTTCTGGATAGGCACAGAAGCCCCAAGAAGTTTCTTCCTTTTATGAGCCATTGAGCTCCCGAAGGGCTATGTTTGGCAAGGGGTTCATAATAGTAACAGTATAGCAACAGCAATAGTAGCAGTAACAATGACACTTAATAGTTGCTAGTCCCGGCTAGTGTGCTTAACGCTTCTTGTTTCAGAGAGTGAGTTAGCAGCTGGCGCTACATGTGCAAGGAAGTAGCCATTGCCACAATTGCCACATGGACGCACTCAGAAACCACGCAGCCAACCCTCAGGATGGTACAGTATGAGATCCTCATGCTAGAGCCACTAAACAAAAGAACCCAAAATTTGAAAAAAACTCCATATCATCCGAAATGTAACCTGAAATTGAGCTTAAGGCGCTTGATTTCTGACCATCGGCGCTGGCACATGAGTCTCTCTGGTGACTTCATATACTCCTTCCTTGGCTCCCGTCATCGCTAGGATCTGGGAGGGGTTTCTCAGATTACGCTGTGGTTCTTGTTTTAATGACCCTATCATCATGCAGGTTTGAGAGGTTACACACATTTGCAAAACATGCCTTTCCCTGGCTTTCTGTCCTCATCGTCCCCCCTCTTACTGAAATGTATTTACATACCCTCACATGAGCTACAGTATAATGAACAACTCCTGGTCTCCACCTTCATAACCCCTTCAACAAACCCCCAAATGACCCCTACATAATCCTTCTTTTAAGGACTGTAGTTGTCCTGGGTGCTCTTCGCCCCCCCTCCTCACCGCTTATGAGCATCCAAGTGATAGTCCATACACTGAGTCCTGAACATCATCAATCCCTGAAGCTTCCCCTCCCCGAAACTAAGATGGAATCCCTATACCCCCCAACTTAAAGGAAGAGTAGCAAATGGATGAAGGGCGAGTCGGTTACACGTGTCGGGAGCAACCGAAGGGTGTGTTGGGGACAGCCGAAGGGCGTGTCGAGAACAGCCGAAAGGCGTGTTGGGAACGGGGCAGGTGCGTGTTGAACACGTGGGGGGGGGTGAGTCAGGAACGGAGGGGGGGTGAGTCAGGAACAACAGGGGTGTGTCACACATTAAGAGCGTGTGAGGTTCAGGGTTACTTGTGTCTTGGACTGTAGACCCAACTTCACAATCCAAGTCTAAGTTCTTTTTCTGGGACGTAGACTTGGGTATACAGTTTCGTCTTGTAAACCGGTGGTTTTTTGGATGGGTATGTACGGGGTCTGTAGGGCGAGTGCAATCCATTCTCCAGTATTTTGAACTAACGCAAGCATGTACACTGTGCTCGAAGCTAGCTAGGCATGCAAGGCATAAGGTGGACACTGGTTTAGGGTTTAGGGTAGAATAGGGGGAAACAGTGGGGTTTAGGGTTTAGGATTTAGAGTTTAGGGTGACTATAGGGCATACTAGTAGGGTTTAGGATTTAGGGTGACGAAAAGGGCGGGCCCTCTTATATACTCCCATGATTTCACTATCACTGGGTCAGGGGTCTACCTAAGCAGGGCATCAGTTGGGAGCAGCCAGGGCCTGACTTCTTTGAGAGTCGTATTTTACGGGTTGACGTTCCAGGTAGCAATGTAGGGGTTTTGGCTGTAGAGTTTGCAGCTCTAGGATGCAATAATCCTAGCCAGTCTGGTCTGGCTTGCAGCACTGCACAAGAATATTCACCTAAGTCGTATAAAGCACCGGCTCGCATGTTCCCGACACGCGCTGCTAAAACAACTACGTGTACTGTTCCCAACTCGCTCCCTGCCCATTCCGAACACGCCCCTCGGTCGTTCCCAACACGCCCCCCCAGCATTCTCAACACGCGCGCGCTCAACACACCCTAATTGCATCCAACACGACCAACATTCAGTAGCAAACAATTGGGAAACATATTTTCCCCAATGGCTTAATACCCCAAAATTTAAAAGTACAGTAGTCTGCAAGGGGCCCCTTTTTGGGTTCCACGTTGCTTCTTCCCCTAAGCCCTAACCCCTAAACCCTAAACCCCCTCAACCCACTGCAGAAAAGCCAAGGCACAACTCCGAGAGGCAGCATCGCAGCTTGTCTCGGGCACGGTAGGCATACCTAACTTCAAGAGTCTTGGGTTTAGGATTTAGGTTTTAGGATTTAGGGTCGGGATTTTTGGGGGTTCGAAAATGGGAGACCCTATACAGACCCCAGGGTATGATAATTCTTGTTATAGAACCTTTAGAAACAGCCCTCCTTTGCTGAATGGGGTTTAGGGTTGAGGGCTTTGAGGCGTGCACTTCCCTTTGCAGACTCTGGGTGTTGGCCATTTGGTTCGAAATCCTGGTCTACTTATCACAAGATGACCCACAAGATTAATTTTGAGGTGAAGGCTTTGGCTTTCTCAAAACTCTGGGCCCACTTTTTGTGCGAGCACATTGGCGCTTCGCATGTAAATTCCATTTGCTTCTGGGGTCTAGACATGTACGCTTACCCCTAAACTCAGCATCCAACCCTAGCCACGCCTATCGCAAAAGCCGACCACACCGAAGAGGATGGAAATCCAACAGCCCAGATGCTGCCTTTCTGTGAGACCCTCAAACACTGGCATGTCTGCAGGGAAGAGCCACCTTTGGAGATGCTTTCTGGGGGTTTAGGGTTTGGGTTTAGGGGCATATAGGGGTTACATACGGGTTAGAAAGGGATAATGGAATATAACATGGAAACTATTAAAGCGGGGCTATGTAGGATTTGGGTTTTGGGGTTTGGGGTTCAGGGTTTAGGGTTGTTCAGGGTTTGGGGTTTAGGTTAAGGGTCTGGGTGGTTGAGGGCGAAGGGGTTAGGCTACGGTGGCTTAGGGTTCAGGGTGTCTGTACGGACTGCTGGTAATCTCTAATTTGGATAATTGCAAGAGTCAAGGACTGTAGCTTCCCCTAATAGACTCCAAACCCTAAACCCTAAAATAATACTAGCAATAATACGAATAGTAATCCACAAGAATATAGTAATAGTAACTAAGGTTTCTTACTTGGTTATTACTCTTTCCTTGGGCCGGGCCTAAGCGGCAGTGTTGTAAGAAGCCCAGCTCGCTAGATAGGAGGCAAGGGGGTTTTAGGGTTTAGGGTTTGGGGTAGGGGAGTCCTAGTAGACTAATACGGATTATAGGGTTGAGATTGGAGTCTAAGGGGATTAGAGGGGAGAGTCCCTAGTAGACTAAGAGAGGTTATAGGGTTGAGACTTCAGGATTTCATGAGGTCATCACACCCCTGGGACTTGCAACCACCCCTTGTGCTGACCAAAGCTCCATGACCTTGCGCGTTGCAAGCTTGAGTATGCTCACTGCAAGATCTCCAATTGTCAAAGTTTACCAGGAAGACCCTCTACACCGAACTACCACAAGCTTCATGATATGCCGCTCAGATCAGCTCAGTTCTCACAAGTACGAGAAGCCGTCATGGCTGCGCCAAAAAGTCGCTTCTGCCCATGTCTCCCTAGCTGCTCGGATTCTTAAAGAGATACCTGCTAACCTAACTTCAAAGCAACGCGACCGCAAAACTAGAAATCCTGCCCTCCCCCAACCAAGCACGGAACCCCAGTGCTCCCGCTATCCCTTCCGGGGTTCTATCTTTGCTTTGGAGCTCGCGCTACCCAAGAGTACCTATTCAATCAAGTTCCTGGCCATGTTCAGTACTGCAAGGAAGAGCCACCGAGCAATAGCTTCGCAAATCAGGGTCCGCCTGTCGAAGGAATGGTAAAGCAATGGGCACCTAGGAAAGCTGTTTTGGGTAAGGAAAGAGGTAATTGTTGGAAAGTAACCGCCGTAAGAGTGTGGTGGGGGTTGGGAGGGCTGGGGTATCTGTTGGACTAGGGCTGGGGCTAAGATTCGAAAGACCAGTTAAGAGTTCTAGCGAGCAAACTTCAAAAAACTTCATGAAAGGCTACGGCAACCAATGGTCCCGTAGGTTAAGCGCCAAGTTGCTAGTTGAGATCCACTTGGGGCTTCGTTGTAGCTGTCAAGAAGACTGATACTTCTTATGAGCTAAAACTATGTGTTCTGAAGAAACAAACACGTGCGGTGCAACAATTGGCCGCACTGCCTCCGCTACAAAGTGGAACCCTCCAAGCCTGAACGCGTCATACCGCAGGTCTATATATTCCAATTTATATTTTGCTACCCAACTGTTACTGAGTGCGAGTGCAGGCAACATCCAAGAGCTAAACGAACAAAGAAGATTCCTACACCCAAACCCTATATGTCCCTGTAAATCCCCAGTTTCCGTTTCATGCTCCATGTGCTTTCCCATTGAATTTTCCATTTCCTGCATCAACCAATAAGAAACCCTGCTCGCCCAAGGCAGAGGCACCACTTCGCACAAAGGCTGACGCGCTCACGGCGTTGCATCCGCCCACGATCCTCCTGCATGTGAGTGTGGGATCGAAGAGTTTCAAAGGAAGAGAGGGTCGCAAAGTAGACCTCAGTCTACGACAGTCCTGATCACAGAAACGAACCCTCCAAAAGGCCCCAACTTTTTGGAAGCCCCCTTTAAAAGCAATCTAAAGGCTGCGGGTTAAGGTTTTGACCAAAACATGCATGATCTTGTTTCCTTCATGGTCTCCCAATGTCAGACGCCCCATAGCACCGCAAAATCTAAGGCGTTCAAAGCTGCCTCAGGAAAGATGGACATCAAAACAACAAGTGTTCTGAGTCTAAGAAACCTCAAGAATCTTCCTACATGAGATCCACACCTTGAATCCCGAACCTGATCTTCAAATTGTGCTTTTGGAAGCCCCTGTATAAATCCAGCTTCCCTTAAATTTTCCACTTTGTACAACCCCTTCGCAATCCCTACATGGCCCCAGATACTCTGTATAGAATCCCGATGGTCATGCAGGCAGTGTACACTACCTCACTGTCACTCCTTTAGCTGCTGCGCGAAGAGCTGCCCCACACGCTGGAAGAGGGCTCTGTACAGCCTTATGAGGGCTTGTAGGGAGTAGAAGGGTTTGGGTTGTGGGTTTAAGGCAAGGAGTTGAAGGGCTTAGTGTGTAGGGTGTAACAAAGCTGGGGGCCTTCAGGGGCAGAATAGGATGTTATTCTCCGCATCATGGTAAACCCCGAACCGTAAACCTAAAACCACTACGATCTTGCGCTCGATGGGGTGTCCTAACCTCCCTACCGACGCCTCTGCCTTGCGGGAGGCACTTTGGGGCAGGAGAGCGTACTTTGCCGTGAGTCCTTGCTTTGGGCTCTCAACATTTGGGTCCACTGCGCATAGTTTCTCTCCACTCGGATCCTAAAAAAAGGCCGAACAGCCATGAAAAAGTCAAATGGTTCCCCTTCCCACCAAACCTAGCAGAGAAGATTCTAGCAGACTCCTTCGAGCAAACAAATGGGCATTTCTTGAGTTAGGGGCCCGGCGTTTACTATCTCAAAGAATGGATCCTTCCTATAGAGTCCGAGCTGCGGGACCATTCTTGTGACCAAAATCCACTAGCTGACATGGCCCGTAAACCCCACTCCAGGGTCATGCAAGGTTGGGATTCCGCATCATTGAAACTCATGACAAATAAAAGATACTGTTGAGGGACAAGTACTGCCTGACCGGCGGTTCCATGCATATAATATTTGAAAACCTTGGTGACCAAACACACATGGTGACTCGTGCTTATCAAACCACCTTGTTACCAGCCTGACGTAAACCCCCAAGCCTCAAAGACACCCAAATCCCCAAGGCTTCACCTCCAAATACCAAGTTCAATGTTCACAGACAGTATGTTGCATATTTGGCGTAAATTCCATATTGTATCATAATACTAGATTATAGTGTTTCTCTAAAGCTGCTCATCGGCGTCAGCGTCACAATCTGCCTCAAGCTGTCCTCCAACAGATCCACCGAAGCAAGAGGGAGATGACAAAACGTATGAAGTCCATGCTAGCAACTATACAGGACTTGAGGTTGCCAACTTGGTGGAAGCTTGAGTGTTTCCCTACATGAATGTGAAGACTGAACCCTAAACTCTGACCAAATCTTCGAGCCTAAACTCGAGAGCCCTTCGCAACTAACAAGCAATTCAAGGAAGGAGCGGGTCAGCATCGTAGCGCTTCCTCAGCTGGTCTTGCTCAGTTTGGGGGTTTCGGGGTTTCAGGAAACAAGGAAACAACAAGGCTACTGCGGCGACTTGGAGGCTCAGGGGTGGGTATGTGGGGTTCGAGTGGGTTACATGCGCCCTACTTCAGGTTAAATGCGTGTGGGGCCATGGGCAACATGGTCATTCCGATTCTGGGACTCTAGATGTGTCACATGGTCGACTAACCCTCAGATCGTCATTTCCGGAAACGACCTCTCCGACCACAGCCCCTTAGTCGCAAAACTGAACCCTGAAGCCTATTATGAAGTTGCCACCTGGACCTCAACGGTACGTACAGTGATGGCCGGAAACCCACCACAGACAGTCAAAAATGGCCAGTGTTCTGCACCCCCAAATCCGATACTTTCATGGTACGCGAAACGACTAGCCCAAACCACAAGCACATGTTTGTACATGCCTGAGAACTCGGCAAGGATGATCCTTGATTCCAGTTGACACGCTAGCATGGTCAAGGGCGCATGCATGCAGTGATTCAGCCTGTGGCATTTCATTTCTATTTGTTCAAAGATCACGCTAATGGGGAACAGTCGGTACAAGTGGTCATGGTTCTTTTCATGCCAAACAAACCTGCAAATTCAAGCTTCAGGCACACGCGATATGACATTTGATAGACTCCATGATAAGGAACCCTTCAGAGTGGTATAGTTATATAGGTCGCGGAAGAGGAGCGTTTTTGTTCCGACAATCTCAAAAAGCATGCGCAGTTCAGCTGTCATCCCTGTAGATACACACATCGAACAAACTCTACTCCACATGGTTCCTGGGTCCTCCACTCTACGCCGCTCCTATCCCTCAGCAAAAAAACCAACCTCTGAGACCGAATCCTTACCTCTAAGTCCCAACCCCTCAACACTCTAGACCCCGGAATTCAGAGCTGAAATCCCAAACTCTGAGCCCAAACCCTTAACTGAGCAAACCCTCAACCCTTGACTCTCGATCCCCTTAACCCCAAACTCCCAAAACCAAAACCCTCAAAACCCACCCCCAAAAAAAACAAACAAACCCCGACCCTAAACCGTCAAAACCCCAAACCCTTAGCCCCATTAAGCCTTGACCCCATTCAGCCTCAACCCCACTAAGCCTCAACCCCATTAAGCCTCAACCCTTAACCCCCAAGTGCAGCAGATCTCAAGGCTTGTTCAGCCAGCTCGAGCCGCGAGCCTGATCTTTCGGCTCAACGTAGGGTTTTAGCGTTCTGGAGGGTTTAGGGTTTAGGATTTTGGGTTCAGGGTTTAGGGTACACTTCTCAGAATCATTTGGGCACTGCCCCCACCATGTAAGAGTTCATGATACGGGGAGTATTAACGGCATTGGTATGATACTTAGTATCCGGGTGTGGACAGCATCCAACAAATCACCCACATAGAATAATAAGGAACCTGTAATTCTGGGGTCCCTCAAGCCATCCGGTTTTCAGTAGAAAGGATTGCAGACGAGCTTTTAAAAGCTCAGGGCTTGGAGTGTGGGGTCCAAGAATTAGGGTCTAACGTCTGAAATGGGGTCATAGGTAGATAGAGGGAATCTCACCGCTTGGGGTAAATCCTGCGACTGCAGGCATGCTGAAGCTACTCCAATTCCTCACCTGTTTCGGTTACCCCAACTCTATAAGCAGGAGGAGCCTATAAGAGTCATATGATCATCACAGGGTTCCTGTACATAGGGGCGGGTAAGTAAAATCTCCCTGTTACTCTTCCAGCTCGCTCCAGGCAAAGGGTGGAATGTCAGGGGTGTAGAATTGAGTATTTCGGGCTTGAAAGACTACGCTAAAGGATCATATGAGCTAGGGTCAATATTTCCCAGATCTTGCCAGATAATCTATGGGCATGGGTCCTTGTTCGGGAACATATGAAGGACTAAGCTACACCAGAGGCACCCCAGGGTCCCCTCACTGGTCCCTTGGTAACACTAATATTCACAGCAGCTCATATAGAGACTGAGAGACTACTGAAGTGATCCATTCCCTATTCGCCACTAAAACTTCATTGCATAAGGGGCTTGATTTTGACCACGGCAATACAAATGAACCAATACATCCAGTCTACCCCCAGTCGGAGCTTCCATACACACGTAATTTCCCACGATGTTCCAAGATCTTCAATCCCTGCGCCCAACATCCCTACACCAGAAGCCCTGAACCCTCAACCACTAGACAGCTAACCCCAAACCCACGTAGACGGCCTGGCTTGAAAGCGAAAGCTGCTTCATCCGGCAGCTTTGATTTGGATTGTCTGGAGTCCTTTGCCTTCTTTGCCTCAGCATCCTTGGCCAAGTACCTCCAGCAAGCAGATGCATGGCCTTTCGTGAATGCCCTACAGCACCAGGCTAGTGTATGTTATGCTGCTATACAGCGCTGCTATAGTGGTTCTCTGTGGTTTACGAGGGTGTCTACACACGATGGGCTTCTGGGCTTCACTTCAGGCAGGCATAGTACGGTGTGTCCATTTAGGTCTAAGAGATCAGGACATCCACCAAGCTCATGCTGTTCGGTTACATTCGCCGCAAAAAGAGGTTTTTTACTTCTACCATATGAGCTATACTACAGGTTTTCAGTATGCCCGATGGGGCCTTTTCATTATCAGGAGCACGATTAAGATTAGGCTAATCGCAAGGAACTCTATGTCCACCCTAAATGGCCCGTTGGTAGCCCAAGTATTTATGGTAGCCATTTGGCACGTGAGTTGCTGCTCTCATGTCCGTGTTGGCGTGCTCGTGTGGAATTGCGAAGTGTAGAGGATAAACCCCAGGCCCTCAACACTACATACTGAGCACGCAAATGTGCTTACTACCAGTGTTCTCTTGCGCAAAAATGGAATGACTGGACCCAAAGCCTGAAAGGGCAGCGGCTTGCTCCCACAAGATTGGGCATCTTGGCCCCCAACCCTAACACCCTGGCTGACTCAGGGTGAGGCACATTGAGGCCTGCTGGGGCGTGGGCTTTGCAGGAGCTCGTGGCCCCCAAAAACCCTGAAACCCAAAACCTCCCACCCGAGTGCAAAAAACATTGAGCCGAGCCTCTCAAGCTACTGCAGGGGCCTACATCAAAACATATATCATTTGAGGTCTGTTTGAGGCACCCTATACCATAGTTGTATAAGGGACATGGGACCGCGATATTGGGGAATTATTTGGGCATCTCTGTTACCCTACACCCTAGAACCTAGACCTCAAGACCTTAACCCTGGACCCCTAAACCCTCAACCCCCCCCCCTAAAACCCCCCTAACACCGAGGCTACCTTGGTAGGAACTTCTTATTCCGCCGCATGTAGTGCCCATACCTGAAGTCAAAAACATTTAGGGTTTGGGGTTTCCACAAATTGAGAGTTGAGGGTGCGTATCATAAGGATTATGGGATAATGAGGCTTGTTTGGGGGTCCCGCTATTAGTGGCAACACCTTGGGCTCCAGCGTTGGGGAAGCGCTGGGGACTTTATGGGGTCAGGGTTCAGTGGGGTTATAGCAGGGACTAGGGAGTTCGGGGTTGAGTCTGCTCTCTAGAAAACGAAATGAGGGACTAGGGCGAACAACCAGCTTCTCCTAAGTCTCATCTACTGGTTCTTAGTGGGGAAGAAAGAAAGTGTAGTACAGCCAGTAAGTCATGCGACAAAGCTCAGCCATCAGGCATAACGCTACATCCCTACTCCATTGAACTCTGAACCGAACCAACACGCCTCAAGCCTTGCACATCTTGACCCCCAGAACGGGAAATCCTAGTGCCCTGAACCTCTGGCGCCATGATCCCGAGAATATGTACCTCAAGCTTCTCAAAAATTAGTATCGAGTTGGAACATAAATATTCAATTATTCAAAGAAGGGCACAGATCCCAAAATCGTGGCCATAAGTTGGAAACCCGCCTAAGCCCCAAGCCTGAAACCCCAATCCCAAAATAAATCAAGTTCAAGAGGCAAAGCCCGGTCACGCTCCAGGCTTCGAGTAGGACCCTCACAAACACGCGCCAAGAGCTCCAACAGCCCCTTCCAGTAGTTGCACCTTAACACATAGGTATCCATTGGGGTAATATTTGGGGGTATATTGGGGTCATATTGGGATGATGGAAAATAAAATGGAAACTACTATTTGGGATTTCGGCCTCTGAGGGTCCGGCTTTCTAAGGCTTTGGGATATCTTCGACTGCCGCCTGAGTGCAGAATCATGACAACCAGATATCTTACTCTCACCAAGGATGGCTAGTCTTACACTCACTACCACATCACCCACATAGTTCAATGACGGCAGAAACAGCGCCCACCCTCCAATTGATCAATATATCTCTCATGTAAATACCCGAGAGTGTTGAGGGTTTAAGACTTCAGGGTTTTAGGGCGATACCCACTTCAGCAACAAAAAGTCAGGTGCCATCTCAATTGTCGAGGCGGAATAAACATTGGGGTTTCCAAAAATTAAGGGTACCAGTTGGGGGTCCCTACAGTCAAGATTAAAGTATTCCGCGGTTGTATTGGGGTTCTCTGGCTTATGGAAACTAACATATTCCCAATATTATAACACGATTCGAATAGAACAGGGGAAATACGTTCGAAGGGGTAAGAGTTGTTCTTTGAAGGAGGAGGTTCTTAATGGAATGAACTGATAGAACGGGACTTGTATCATGAGGGGGAGGTAATAACAGCCCGACCTTAAAGGTTGCTACCACAAGCCTTCCGAAGCGCAGAAGCCATGCACCCCAGCAGAACACTCCAGGGAAAACCTTGAAAATCGTGTTACTTAGTGGCTCTTGCCAAGCCCTAAACCCTAAACCCTTACTAAGCCCTAAACCCTGAACCTTAACCCTAATCAGCTGAGGCGCTCCGGAATAAGGTGGAGGTTGGCAAGGAGGGTTGCGGGGTCTCGCTGCCAAAGCCACGTCATGGCGTCGTAGAACGAGTATCTATCCTTCTCAGATTTCTCAGATTTGGAGGCTCAGCTTGGGGCTTAATTAAGGTATATCACTTCTCACACTTCAGTCCTATGTCGTGAGGATATGAAAAGACATTGCTTGGGCACTTGGGTATTCAAGAATTTAAGGGCAAGTTGGAAGATACCCAGGCCAAACCTATTTTGTCAAGGCGGCGTTCAAAGCTAAACACAGGGCTGTTAGCGAAGCGGGCCGCTTGCAGAACTGAAGGAGGGGGCCCAATGTGGAACTTCATGTCTTTTAGGGCAGAGCAGAGCATGCAATTCGTCCTGCTTGCCCTCGCGCGCGCCCAGGAGAAATATCTGCTTCAGGCAAACCTCAGGGTTTTGCTTTATGGTCTTGAATGTCCTCTTCATCCCTTTCGACCCCATAATACTACACCATCCCCATATATGGGGGGGCAGTTCATGAATATGGGGTCTGATTGTTTAGCAAACTCCTGCGGTTCATATGGTGGATTGAGTAGGATCATGAAGGGGGGAGGAGGAGCCGAGTAGCGCAGCTACGTAGAGCATTCTCCTTCTACACTGTACTAGTACCTATTGTGAGAGAGAGGGCATGTAACCAACTATAGGATGGGCTTGTACAGTCCTTCCTGATAAAGGGGGCCTTTTCCAAGTGGACCTCAGAAACCCATCCTGTACATTATTCTACGTGGCACTTAGGACCCCTACTAAGGGCTAGTACTTATAATGGGGGGAGTATAAGGGAATCCCAAAGGGTCAAGGGTTTAAAGTCCAAGCTAACTCCCAAGGAGCTTCTACAAACCCTCGTCAGCTTCCGCAGATTCGTCGCAGCAGCAGCATGAGGAGGAGAAGGAGGAGGAGGCATCAGAGGAGGGTGCAACAACATCGGCATAGCTGATGGTACCATGGTCTTCGCGGGGTTGGTCCAAGCAGGGTAAGCCCAATCGCCCCTAGTAGCCCCTAATGCTCCCCATAGTTCCCCAGTACCTCCCTTGGACCCAAACCTCTTGAGGACATTGTAGTGATGTTACCAAAAACACAGGTCAGCTAGTTGTAGTATGGTTTGTATCCGGCAGCCCGCCAACTCTAAAATCCAATCTCTGGCCCAACAAAATCACTGCCACCAAGCGGTAAACCTGAGGCCCCATATTTAGGGTGTTAGGGGGTGTCTTCAAGATGTTTATCGTTGTTAGGGTTTAGGGAGTTCAGGGTTTAGGGTTTCTGGTTCAGGGTTTAGGAGTTTAGCGCTTCCATCAGGCCACCTCTGCACCCTCCCTCCAAGCAGGTTCGAGCAGATTTTTCCTCGGTCTTCAAATGCGAAGGGTGGGTTTTGATGCCCAACTACGATCATGTTGTTCTGTTGCTGTTTGGTTTAGGATTCAGCAGTTAGGGCTTAGTGATATTCACTGGAATGATGGAGAATCAAATGCAAAAGAAAATGGGCAATGAACTGGAAACTGGGATTTTATAGGGAGATGTAGGATGATGTGGGTCTTGCTTTTTATGCTTGAGCCAACGAAGATCAGGTTCTTCTCCTCAAGTACGATCTTACTCTCTGTTGGGAATTACTCATGCAAAGACTTTTCCAATGAAAGGTAGGTTCGAGGCTTGAAAGTGCTGGGGAAGAATGTGATTATGAAGGGATTCTTGAGGGCCATGTAAAGGAGGCTACGTGTGTGCTCCAAGTCCCATGTCAGCATTCACTTAGGTGCGAGCCTGTAGTAATAGTTCTTGCCGTACATACTCGGTATACACCCTGTATGCATTCTATGAGGCCCTGTGCATATGGCTGCTGAATTTGACACCTTGAAGCGGGACTACCGTCCTCTTGAAAGTTGTCCTCCTGAGGTTCCATGCCACATGTGGAGGGGTGCAAACACGCAGTTGAAGTCATAATCCGGTCAGAAGTCCAGAGTGCCCCCATAGAGGGATCCCGTACATGAGGAACGAGAAGGGTACCCCTGCTTTTGGATGCGTCTTATACATGCTCCAACCCTAAAGCCCAAGCGCTTCAGTCACATCCCCAAGCCCTAAAAAATACATGCTACAACTCAAGCCCCATTGAGTCCAAGCTTCAATTTTGTGTTTTCCTCTGGCTGTGGCTGCGGGACCCCCTCGAAGAACAGGTCCACGTTTGCAGAGCCGCTGTCCACAAACATCTTACCTCTGGCACAGGCAAAAGGATCAGCTTAGCATGCTCTGGGGTTAGGAAATTCGAGGTTGTCGGCGTAGGATTGGGGTTGGGTTTAAGGATTTAGGATTCGGGTCCGTCAGATCTCAAGTTTCCCAAGAAACACCACGTCTAAGATCTCTATAACAAACTTGGAAGCCATCTGTGGCGGTCAAGCTCGAGAACTGGGCCTATTTCCTAGAGAAAACGCAATCGAAGCCCTACGGATTGGTAGGGCATGTGTCATATGTGTAGTTGTCAACACTGCAGGCCCTTTTCTGGGAACCCTCTGCAATACCTTCTTGATACCGCACCTCATAATTTTTGAGGGGCCAAGACAAGTCAGACTATCTTGACAACCACCTGTATAACTCCATCTCTGAAGCCACAGGTACTGCAAAGGTCAAAACAATTACCCTTTGCTTAAAGCATGGTGGAGAATCAAATGGAAGAGAACATTGAGATGAAATTGAAATTGGATTTACATAGGGGTCATAGGGTTTAGATAAAGGGATGTAATACGGGGGCCTCAATAGTTACCGATATCGTTGGTCCATTTAAGATACTCCATGCCAGAATTATACAACTCATCTAGGACCCTACTAATATTGGTAATTATTCAGGATTCTATAGCACATCAAGAAGTAGAAGGCAAAGCATCTGGCCTCCAACTTCTGTGTCTTTGAGGGGTCTCTCTGCCTCCACAAAAGAGAGGATGTGCTGCACCTCAATGGTACACTCACTTGGCGTGAGGTCCAAGGATTAGGGTGAAGGGGTTCAAGCGAACTCTCAACCTGGATATTTACACCAGGCTTATCATGCGAGACTGGGATTGCATGAATAAGAAGGCACACTTTCTTGAAGCTTCAATGCCAACAGCAGAAAACATGTGAACTACCTTGCCTGCAATCGGCCTCAAGCACCTATTCAAACGCTGAAAAGCTCTAAGCCCAAACCCTTGACTCGGACTTTGGGCAGAGTTGGGGCGCCAGATCCATTCGACCCACGCGGGGCTTCAGCAAAGACAGACTCATCGATTTGTCCAGGCAAGTCCTGGGTAGCGGGCTATATTGACATATCGGGATTGCCCAATATCAGGGGTATTTTTTTGGGAGTCTCCATAACAAGGATTACAGTATACTGGGGTCTATATTGGTACCCTTATTTTGGGAAACTACCATCTACACATAAAGGGTTACGGGTATGAATAAATTCTTGCAAAGCTGCGGGGGGTTCTGTACAGAGACCGTGGGAATGCATGTGTACATACAGGGAACCGAGGCAAGATATACTCTTGTTGGATTTTGCGTTTGGTGTGTTAGCTAGCAATGACCATTTCCATTTTCTAACCATGCCCACCCCCCTAGGCCATCCAAAGACCCAAAACCATAACAACCTATAC